TGTAAGCCTCCCTCTATGCCCCTTAAACCAAACCCTACTTTGGAGTAGACCCTGGGAAAAGAAGTACATACTTTTGAGGTAGAAATAGCTATACTCGGAACAAAGAACCAACACAAAGTACTAAAAAAAATAGAAGTAGGGTACTCCAAAACCAGCATAAAGACACGTTTCCTTAGAACCCCTCCCGCCTGCAAAGCCGTGCGCGCTGCACGGGAGTGGAGCTTCTCTTCGACCTGAACGGAAAAATCTAATTTTAGGGTTCCTAAACGCTCAGCCCTAAACCCTAAACCCTAAAATCCTAAAATCCAAAAACCCCGAAAACAAAGTTCAGGGTTTCAGGCCAGGCTTTAGGGCTTTGAGGATTTAGGGCTTGGGTTTTATCTTAGGCTTAAAGTTTAGGTTTTAGGTCGTAGTTAGGGTGTCGGGTTTAGGGTTCAGGCTTAGCATGTTCGGGTGGCAAGAACAAGAATAGAAGTCGGACACCTATGCAGCAACGAGGGAACACCAGCAAGAGATCAGCGACACGTTCGCAAAGTGGTGCTTGGCCCGCGTGTACTTTGGGTCGTGGCCCGACCTTTACCGAACTTGGAACCCCAGCAGAATTCTAGTTCTTTCTGCTTCTTAGGAATTCTAAGTATAATGCCCAAACATTCAAGAATTTTAATAGACTACCTACATGTCAAACAAAGAGAATCCCAAGTCTTCCAAAGCTTAACATCGCTTGTGGCGCTTAGGTCTTCATTCTTTCCCTGAGACTTGGGGACTTCAGTGTGGACCTGGAGAGCTGCCACACTAACCCTCAACCGCAAGGCCTCGGGAGTTGAACCTTCCCTGAGCTCTCGACCACAGCCATCGCTTGGCAGATGGGTCTCCTGATCTCAAAACTCGACCGGCTTTGGCGTGCTAAACCCTAAACCCTAAACCCGAAACCCCAAATCCCCAATCCCCAAACCCTAAACCCTAAACCCTCTACCCCAAACCCTTCAGGTATAGTTCGGGAATTAAAATTTAGGGCCCACTTGAAAGGAGCTTTCGGGCCCAGGTGTGCTCAGCATGTGGGGAATTCCATGCGCTAAGCGTCCCTGCCGGAGCCGAAGCCCTAAAACCACAAAACCCAAAACCCAAAACCCTAAACCCCAAACCCCAAACCCCTAAAACCCAAAACCCCAAGCCCTAAACCCTAACCTTCTTAGGTCTAAATTTCGTAGAAGCTTCTGTAGCTTTCCAGCACTTAGGGTGCAGGGTTTAGGGCTTGTAAGGTTTAGGGATTGTAGAGACAGAGAGTCTCGGGGCGCCAGGCCTTTCAGAATAACGAAATCCCCCCAAGTGCTGGCGAAGCTTTGTTCATGTCAGCTTTGCTTGAAGGACTTCGAGCGCCAACCCTATGAAACGAAGTGTAGGCAACTTTATGGGACCATTTTGCCATCCAAGCCCTTTGGCCGTAAAAATCTGAACCCTGCCCTGAACCCTAAACTCTAACCCTAAACGCTAAACCCTAAAACCCTAAAACCCTCAACCTTCAAACCCTAAACCCTAAACGCTCAACCCTGAAACCTAAACCCTAAACCTGCAACTGCAACTGCCGCCAAGTTGCTCAGCCCACAACTCATCATTCCAAGCTGATCCATGGCGCTGTTGGTCGACTTACTTCGGAGAACTTCATGGTCACTTTTCTGGACCCCTAGAGTGACACAGGAATTGAAAAAAAGGGTGCCCTTTTTGGTTGAAAGGGGTTTCTTCAGGGAGCCGCCCAACCCCAGGAAGTAAGGGCCTACTCTGGGTCCTCGGCTGCGGTTGTGCAGTTCTGTACTGAGGTGGCCTCGATCTTCGCTCTTCTCCTGGAAACCCTTAAAGTCGTAACCTAAACCCTACAGAGGCGCTATTTCACAGCAGGATGCGCGGCTGCAGCCAGAACACACATGTCTTGAAGATGACGGCACGGCCGTTGGAACTGCTTACACGACCCTCTCGTTCGCCTCACGTGAAGGCTCAGGGAGCTTAGCAAGCAGGCGACAAACGAGGTTACCCTTGGCAGAACCCACTGCAGGGGCATTTTTGCCCCTATCGCCTATACTTCTTCAGGCTTCAAGTCTGCGCGGGCTGAATACCCTAGCCCCAAAAAGGTCAATCTTTTAGGGGTGATAGGATCAGATGTAACCCAAAAGAATAAAGGTCAACTACCCAGCCCCTAAGAAGTTTAAGCCATGGACCCGGAAATCCTCAAGCTCCCTCATCTCTCAGGCCGCGTTTTTGTGCCGCTGCCTCGAGCCTCCGCATGAGAAGTGCTGGAGGAACCTCAATGCTCAGACTCGCCCTGCACGATGCTAAACCCCTGAACACCTAAACTTAAACCCTAAACCCCTAAAACCGAGAATCTAGATGTTTCCAGCCGTACAAGCCCTGAAGTGGTTTCGGGTACTTAGGGGGTTTAGGGTTTAGGGTTCGGGGTTTTGGGTTTGGGGTTTAGGTCGATTAGGGCCTGCCGGGTACCCTGCAAAGCTCTAACGCCCAGTGCGATGTCGGCTGGTCCGGGTCGGCAGCACAGGGCTAGGGTGGTGCCGGCTGCTGGCAGCGCGACGTAGCAATAGGTGTAGGGTTTAGGGTTTAGGGTTTAGGGTTTAGAGCCGAGGTTCCTACAACTCAGCTTCCCAAGGGAACTGGGCTTCTGCTTTCGAAGCCAGGAGTGATCTTCACTCAGCTTCTTGGAGGAGCAGTTGAGGGTTGAGGGTTTGGATGGCGGGAGTGGGCCCCCCCTGCTTTCCCACCTGGGAAGTCCTGCAGTACAACGCGCATTCCGGTGTAGGTCAAACCTCAAAGAACGTGGCTTGCTTTGTACGGGAACCATCCTGATTCAAGCGAGAAGTCGAATGCAGGGTTCAGGGTTTTATCGAGCCTGGTGCGTTCAAGAGGTAGGTGCACAAAGAAGGTGCTTTATGGCTGGGACCATATCAGGTATGCGACAGGCCAGCGACCAACAAACGCGCTAGCCCCCCAGCAAGTACGATGCAGGCTACAAAAAGGAAGGAAGTAAATAATTGAGGGCTAGGGGCAGTTCACGCTGAGGACATGCGACGAGCGCAGACAGTTCCCGCAGCTCGCATGACCGAGAGCGATGCTTCCCGCAGGTCTTCGACACAGGGGGTCAACATGTGTCAATTTGTACATGCTTACCTGCGTGCTGGGAAACAAGGGTGCAGGTCTTCCACCTCCAAGAACCTCGACACTTGCCTGTGTTCATTCTTCACCCTCAACCCTAAACCCTAAACCAAACCCTAAACCCTAAACCCTAAACCCTAAACCCGACTAACTTAGCGGTGGCGGGTCCGCGAACAACTTGAAACCCAGCACCCCAAACAGGCAAGCATGGCAAAAGCTCAGCTCCACATGGCTCAAAGGATCTCATGGGGGTCTCGGTTGGTCCTTAGAGCCCTCAGTAATATAGGGTTGAGGGTTTAGGGTTTAGGGTTGAGGGGTTAGGGTTGAGGGTTTAGGAGCCTTGAACCCAGTAAGGGAAAATATGAACATGTCCCAAGGGCCTTAAACCCTAAACTCGAAACCCTGCACCACAAACCCTAAACGCAAAACCCTGAACTACCCCAAACCCCAAACCCTAAACCCTTAACCCAGGGTTGGATCCGGAGGCCTTTTTTTCGCGGAGCTGGGCTCTGCCCGTGCAAAACGCTCATGGAGCCCCTTGTCAGCTCCACTGAGCATGCCGGTCGCATAGGCTTAGGAGGGTTTCAGGGTTTTTGGGTTTTTGGGTGGGTTTTAGGGTTTTAGGGTTTTAGGGTTTTAGGGTTTTGGGGCAAGTATTAAACAGGCGACGAGAGCCCCACCCTAGCCATACTCATTCAATTAGAAGGGCAACTAACTCAGCGTAACGGGTAGAGGACGGATGAGCTTGCGTTTGTTTGGCACTTGCAGTGCGACTGGGAGCGGTTTTTTGCCGATCTACATTCCACACGCGCAGTCACAGTCCGTGTCAGAGATCGGGTTTAGGGCTTGGGGGATATAGAAGGCACCAAGGCACTTGATATAGAGCCTCCATTCTTGGGCTTGGGAACAGGCTTGGATGTAGTGTTTTGACTCCGGTTTACTTACCCGAGAAGGGCAATGCATACGATCTGCAGCCTCAAGGCGTCCCACCCATGTGCTCGGCACTTAATGTACACGCGAATCAGGTTTTGCATTTGTAGCAAAAGCGCGCATCTGCAGCATAACTGATATCGTGACCTGCCCAACCGAAGAAAAATCGCAGCACAGGCACCTGCACTGCTCCAGCTTGCGGCTGGTCTTGTTGGTAGCACTCGGACATACAAAGTGCTCGCATGTTGACCTGCAAGTTTATATATACATCCAATATTATATATATATATATATATATATATAATATACGAATCGCACTATTCCACTATGTATACTCTCTCATGTAGAATTCTATTCTTTTGCCTTACATTACTAAGCATTTTTGCTTCGGTTGCTTTGCGGAGTTGCAGCGATCACGTCCCTCTCTGGCGTTGTGCCACCGTTGTGCGTGGGTCTGGAAGGCCTAGGGATGAAATGTAGACCGGTTTAGGGTTTAGGGTTTAGGGTTTAGGATGACATGGAGACCCTCAAACTTCCTAAACCCAACAAGTGCGGCTTGGGAGATACACTGCATCACGAAAGTACATCCCCTCTTATGGGTATATGGGTTTAGGGTTTAGGGTTTAGGGTAAGTCCCTAAACCCTAAACCTTCAATCCGTAAACTCCAGACCCTGAACCCTAAATCGCGAACAAACCCTGAACCCCAAACTCCACAAAACCCTAAACCTCATACAAACCCTAAACGCCCCAAACTCCACAAAACCCTAAACCCTAAACCTCATACAAACCCTAAACACCCCAAACTCCACAACTCCAACCAGCTCTCGGCTATTGGGGTTTAGGGAGGGGCAGATACCCGAAACCCTATAAACCTTAGGCCCTACTTGACGGGCGTTGGGGCTCCCTTGGGCCTTCAACGGCCGCGAGCAATGGGAAGCAACTTCTCACGGATGAAGGCCTCCACCAAGGCCTGGGGGGGTTTCGCGAATTAGGGTCTCTAAGGCCTTTAGGGCCTTCAGGGCCTCTAGGGCCTTTAGGGCTTGGGGCCTTTGGGGTTTAGGGTTTAGAGTTTAGGGTCTTTAGGGGTTTAGGGTTTAGAGTTTAGGGTCTTTTTGGGCCTTTGGGGTTTGGACGGCCTTTCGTGGTTTCTTAGGGCTTGCGGTGTTTCCACGGCTTTTTTAAGTTTACGGGATTTCTGCGGCTTTCAGGGTGTTTCTGTTGTGCTTGTCACTAGGCTTATAGGGCTTGCAGGGTTTTTGGTGTTCCTAGATAAGGTTTGCAGGGTTTGGGGGTTGCTACCAGTAAGGGTTTGGAGGGGCTATAGGGCTAATGTGCCGAGCGACTCGGCTTTCCTGCGCACATACCTCGCTTCAGAATACAGACCACCCCCCCCCCCTCCGCCCTTAGTTGAAGGGCGTTGAAGCTAAACCCTAACCCTACACCCTACACCCTACACCCTGCACCCTACACCCTACACCCTACACCCTACACCCTACACCCTAAACCCTAAACCCTAAACCCTAAACCCTAAACCCTAAACCCTAAACCCTAAACCCTAAACCCTAAACCCTAAACCCAAATTCTGAAGCCGTAGATCCAAGCTGGGTTTCCTCAGCAACCAAGCCCAGGGCCGCCAGGTTGTGTGCTTGGCCGCCGCGGAGGAAAACGACCGCACCAACCTGGGCATTGCTGAGGTTCAAGGGCTCTTTGAGGGGAGGGTTTAGGGTTTAGGGTTTAGGGTTTAGGGTTTAGGGTTTAGGGTTTAGGGTTTAGGGTTTAGGGTTTAGGGTTTAGGGTTTAGGGTTTAGTATTTAGAAGGGAAGCTCGCTGGTGCTAAAAGCACCCGGGCCGCTCGCTTGCGTTAGCATGTAGTCCCACCCCAACCACCCAAACTATTCCCATTTACCTGTCAGTGACTCGTAGGCTTCTTGGAGCTTTCACGGAGTAAAATGGAAGGTGCCCAAAACCATCAATTGCAATACCAAAAACCCACATTTTCGGGCTTGAAAGGGCAGCAAAAACGGTCGGGGGTAGCAGGGGCCTCGGCCGGCCCCTGCTTTTTGCAATACGAAAAAACCCACATTTTCTTACCCTGTCAGCTCAGGCCCCAGGAGGCCTCTCTGGGAGGCCGGAACCCTAGCCTGGCGGGTTGGGAGGCCTCATAAATCCAAAACTGCGCCCAACGTCAGGGTCCTAGAAGGTCCCAGGAGGGTCCCAGACGGTCCCAGGGCGTCCCAAGGGGGGTCCCAAGGGGGTCCCAGCGGGTCCCAGAAGGGTCCCAAAAAGCTCACAAACAAAACTCTATCAGGCCCCCCAAAGTCCAGGGAGGTCCCAAGGGAGTCCCAAACAATCCCAAAAGGGGTCCCAAGCGGCCCAGAAGAGTCCCAAGGCCCAAAACAGCCATCGGGGGCACCCCCGGAGGGGGGACCCCCCGGACCCCCCCACAAACACTAAAAGACATCAATGGTGGTAGGTTTGGGGTCCTTTTTATGTTAGGGCTGACGCCCTAGGTCTGAGGCGTAGCCAGTCACTGCCGTCTCGTCTACCGGGAGGCTTTACCCTCCCTCACCGTTCTGTGGAGACGCTCGGTCGGGGACCTCGGTCGAAGCCTCGAGCGCCCATGCATATGGACAGCGGCGCTCTCGGCAGTTTAGGGTTTAGGGTTTAGGGTTTAGGGTTTAGGGTTTAGGGTTTAGGGTTTAGGGTTTAGGGTAATTAAGCCCTTCAAGCAGCAGTCTAAGCGAGCGGCGGCATGCTGAAACTCCACGAAGCTCATCTCCTGCCATGGCGATCAGGAATGCCCCGCCCCAAATCCCCCAAAACCCCCATTGGGGTTTAGGGTTTAGGGTTTCGGGTTTAGAGTTAGGGTTTATAGGGTTTATAGGGTCTAGTGTTTAGGGCTTCGGGCTTGGGGTTGAAGCCCCAAGCCCGAACCCCAACACCCCGACGTGGATTTGGGCAACATCAGACGTGAGCCGAGGCGCTTTGTGTGCGGGATTTTCTGAGGGGGTTCCGGAAAGCTTCGACAGACACGTGGAGCAAGCAAAGCCTAAACTCCAAACTTCGCATCCTTTTTGGGAAGCCCAAGCTCTACACTCCAACCCGTAAACCCTTAGCTCCAAACCCTAAACTCTAAACCCTGAAGTCCGTACCCTCCAAACTTGCGGGTCCTGAAAAGAAAGTTCATACCGCGGGAACTTTAGGGAAGCTTAGGGTGGGGGAAAATAGGGAACCTTGGGTTACAAACCCCCCTTGAATTCCGCCTCCCCTAGGAACCCTAAAGCAAACCCTCAAAAACTCAATAGTCCAAAACCCCAAACCCTTTTGCAGAAGAGAGGCTTGGTAGCACAGTAGCCACATTAGAAGGGTCCGCCTTCTGTTGGTTGGCTACTTTATCAGGGAACCTTGAACCCCCAAAAAAGCAAAAGGCTAACCCTAAAGCCTAAACCCTAACCCCTCAACCCCAAACCCTAGACCCCAAACCCCCAAACCCCAAACCCCAAACCCCTAACCCCTAAGCCCTAAACCCTAAACCCTAAACCCCAAAAAGGCACAAACGGGCACCCCACAGGGCCACCAAGGAGGAGCCCCAGCCCCCGGCCTGGAAGCGGGTCTTAAACATTTCGTCCGCCTGGGTCATCATGGCCATGCGGAAGGCCAGGCCGATTCGCCTCTTTCTTTTGGGGTTTAGGGTTCAGGGTATAGGGTTTAGGGTGTTTAGGGTTTTGGGTTTTGGGGTATAGGGATTTAGGGACTTTGGGTCTAGGGTTTAGGCCGATTCTCCGCTCTTGTTCATGGTTTAGGGTGTAGGGATTTAGGGTGTTTAGGGTTTTGGGTTTAGTGTTTAGGCCGATTTTCCTGTTTTTTATCATCTTTTTTGGTTTGGGGGGGGGGGGGTTAGGGTGTTGAATTATTCTCCTCTTTTTGTTTTATGAAGAGGAGAGTTTTATTGTTGCTGTTGCTGTTGCTGTTGCTGTTGCTGTTGCTGTTGCTGTTGCTGTTGCTGTTGCTGTTGCTGTTGCTGTTGCTGTTGCTGTTGCTGTTGCTGTTGCTGTTGCTGTTGCTGTTGCTGTTGCTGTTGCTGTTGCTGGTGCTGGTGCTGGTGCTGGTGCTGGTGCTGGTGCTGCCGCTGCTTTTGTTCTTCTTCTTCTTCTTGCTCTTGCTCTTGCTCTTGCTCTTGCTCTTGCTCTTGCTCTTGCTCTTGGTCTTGGTCTTGGTCTTGGTCTTGGTCTGCGTCTTGTTCTTGTTTGTGTTCTGGGTTTTTGTTCTTCTTGTCATTGTTCTTCCTGTTTTTGTTCTTCTTGTTCTTGTTCTTCTTGTTATTGTTCTTCTTGTTCGTGTTATCACCCAAACCCCTAAAACCCAAAAACCCTAAAACCCTAAAACCCTAAAACCCTAAACCCCCAAAACCCCAAAACCCTAAAGCCCTAAAGCCCTAAAACCCTAAAACCCTAAAACCCTAAAACCCTAAAACCCTAAAACCCTAAAACCCCAAAACCCTAAAACCCTAAACCCTACAACCCGACCCCGTCCTCTGCGTAAACTCCGCTGTCAGTGAGTGCGAGGACTCCAGGAGTTCCTTCGACTTGGGGCTACGGGCCTGGGGTTTGGGGGTTTAGGGTTTAGGGTTTAGGGTTTAGGGTTTAGGGTTTAGGGTTTAGGGTTTAGGGTTTAGGGTTTAGGGTTTAGGGGTTTAGGGTTTAAGGATTGAGGGGTTTCGGGATTTAAAGGGATTTAGGGATTGAGGGGTCTGGGGACTTAAGAGGATTCAGGGATTTAGGGCTCCGGGGTGCATTGTTGAGGGGTGCAGGGTTGAGGGGTTTTGTGTTTAGGGAGACTGAAAATGCTCCTTAATTCAGGAATATTCCTTAAACCATGAGCAACCCGGTTATGTAAATTTAAGGAATGTTCCTGAATTGCGGGGTATTGGAGTCCCTGGGTTCAGGGCCCCTTTCTCACCCTAAACCCTAAGCCCTAAACCCTAAACCATGAAGCACCGGTTCTAGTAAGCAGCCCGAATGGTCTGCCGTGGCATCCTGGAACTCGCCGAAGGACATGAACTTTGCCTGGGAGATGCGAAAAAGGTTGGGGTTTGCTTTGGGGTTTCGGGTTTCGGGTTTAGGGTGTAGGGTCTAACATTCCCCTCTACCCCCCCTCATCACTCTACAAAACCCCAAGGCCCTTGACAACCCTAACGCTAAGCCCTCAATCGACCTGCAGCTGAAATGAATGTGACGCCTGGCCAGGAGAATCAACTCTGCGACCCCCCGAGCGTCCCTTGATCGGAAACTGTGAGATCCTGGAGGGTGCCCCCTGACCCCCTAGACCCCTAAAACCTAAGCCCGACAGCCCTCCCTAAACCCTAAACCCCAAATCCCAAACCCTAAGCCGAAAGAGCCGGGTCGCAACACCAGGAAGCGAGACACGACCGCTGAATCGGCGGTAAACCTCCTGGATCTTCTAGGCATTGTGGGAACTTGGGTGGTATTGAGGGTTTGGGTCCGAAACCCTAAACCCTAAACCCTAAACCCTAAACCCTAAACCCGAAAACCCGAAACCCGAAACCCTAACCCTGAACCCTGAACCCTAACCCTGAACCCTAAACCCTGAACCCAAACCCTGAACCAGAAACCCTGGGCGCTTAGGGTGGAGGCGCAAGAACCAGCAAGAGTCCCCAGGGTTACCACGGTGCCCATGCATGTATATAGGAATACGTGGGCCTTATTCAGAGGTACCTATACAGTAGCCTTAGGGTCCAGTCATTACATACTACATCGGTACAACGACCCCTCATGATTGGGGAATTCGGTACCGTGTATGATCCCTTAGAGGGGTACTTTGAGGATGCTGGGCGCATGTGCCTACTTCCCAAACAAAACGCTACACAGTTGCAGGAAACCCAGAAACCCTACCCTAACCCCTCACCCCCACCCAGCAAGGGACCGAATTTCAGCCCCAAACCCTACACCCTAAACCCTAAACCCTGCACCGTAAACCCTAAGCCCTAGACCCTAAACCCGAAACCCTAAGTCCAGAAAATGTTGGCAGTCCTGGAGCACGGCGTGGTACTTCTTCATCACGTCATCTACCTGGCGAGTCAGGCCGAAGCACTCCCAAAGCTCCCAGGAACCGGGTCTAGGGTTTAGGGTTTAGGGATTCGGGTTTATGGCTTAGGATTTAGGGTTAGGGCTTAGGGTTTGAAGGTAAACCCCCACAAGCCCTAAACCCGAAACTTCCGAATCGTAGCCTTGCAGCAGCCTAACAAGGACCCGACAAGGGGTGGCTATTCAGGGAAGTCTCCAGACCATCTGCACCTGCCTCCCTAAACCCTAAACCCTAAACCCCAAAACCTAAACCCTAAACCCGCAAACTCTAAACCCTAGACCTGCTGCTTAGAGTCCCTAGACCCAATGGTAGCCTGGGAAGAAAAGGGGGCGAAAAGGGTGCCCTTTTTGGTTTCAAGGGGCTCTTTCATGATATTATGCTCAGTGGGGCTATTAAAGTTTAGAAATACTGGGTTTTAGGTTTAGGGTGTATGTGTCATCGTATAGGTGTGGAAGTAGCTTTTTCTGTGCGGGGCGGTGGGGGGGGGGGGGGGGGGGGGCCGGGACGGGGGGTTGGTGTTGCGTGTTCCCGAAACCTCAGATCCTAAACCCTAAACCCTACAGACCCTAACCTTCCTCAGTTTCCTTAGTCTCTGTTCTTGACTGGAAAAATGCGACAGCGCTGCCTGTGCCTTCAGGAACAAGGTGGTTCTGTAAGTTAGGGTCCCTTGTGAGCAAGGTGCCACAAGTGTTCTTCGACGTCACAAGCTTTCAACAAACAGAAGGCCAATTGCAAAGCTGCCTGGAAACAAAGACTCTACCTAAGCCCTAAACCCCAAACCCCAAACCCTAAACCCCAAACCCTACACCCCAAACCCCTAAACCCCAACCCCTAAACCCCTAAACCCCTACACAAACCCTCGTCGCCTCCTCTGTGTGAAGAGCCGCAAGGAAGCCATCCTGCATTTAGGGTTGAATGGGTCTGCTTTATTTAGAACAACCCGAAACCCTACATTGGTGTTTTTACGATAAAAAGACAATGAACTCTAATTTGTGTTTAGTTAAAAACCCTTAACACTGAATGGCTTTCTTCTCGTTCAAAAACAACCTAAACCCTAAATGGTGTGGTGTTTTTACGTGAAAAAACCCTAAACCTTGTAATGTTTTTTACGTTAAAAAACACCCTAAACGCAAGGAAGCCATCCTGCTCCGCCATCTTGGCCTCGGCGACCTCGCGGGACTTTTCTTTGCGGAAGGCTCCAGACATGCGGCCGTAAGGAAACCCGAACTGCCCGAAACCCTACAATCCCTAAAACCCCATTTAAAATAGCAAAAAACAAAATATAAAGAAAAAAGAAAAAGACTAAACCCTGAACCCTGAAAACTCCGAAACCCTGAAACTTGACCCGGGGCCGCGGCGGGCAGCAAAGGCTCCAGCACCTGTGACAAGGCCTCCGAGATGCTCTTCGTGCGACCTGGCAGTTTGGCTGCAGTTAGGAGGGTTAGGGTTGGGGTTTAGGGCTTCGGGGTTTAGGGCTTAGGGCTTAGGGCTTGGGGCTTGGGGCTTGGGGCTTGGGGCTTGGGGCTTGGGGCTTGGGGCTTGGGGCTTGGGGCTTGGGGCTTTGGGCTTGGGGCTTGGGGCCCAGGGCTTAGGGCTTAGGTGCTGGAAGTAACTTGAAATAACCATTTGCTTCATCATGAAATGTAGGAGCACCTACTTTCTTCACGGTGGACGCCAATCTTGGCTCAACTTTGGGACCAGGGTGAGACAGCAGTCCGAAAAAAATGTGACGCGCAAGTCACTGCCTTAAACCGACCGGGTATTTGCTGTGCCCAGGATTCGCAGTTTCCTTTGCCTTGCAGTTGCCACTCGCCTTGGCTTTCTTTGGGCTACCCTAAACCCTAAACCCTAAACCCTAAACCCTAAACCCTAAACCCTAAACCCTAAACCCTAAATGTCCCGCGCTGGTCAGCGCGAAATCCCGCACAGCCGGTCGCACTCGTCAAAGAGGGCTTGGCAGCGGCCTTCGTTCCTGGCGAGGTCCGTGGGACTCAGCACATACCAGCCGTACCTGGGTTGGCCTTTAAACCCTCTGAATAAATTATATATATATATATATATATGTATATATAATCTAGCGCCCCTAAGCAACCAAAATAAGGAAAACTCAAGAAATGTCCCAAACAACCAACCTCGATACTTGTTGTGAAAGTAGACGGTCTCTTGGTGCAAGTCACTCGCAGGGCAGCTTGCGGCAAAGATGCTACTTTGTGCACCCGCCACGACGCTGATGCGGCCCCAGTCGTAGCTTGACACCATGGCGGCTTGAAGGCAACCTGGGGGTTTAGGGTTTAGGGTTTCGGGGTTAGGGTTTTGCAAGGGTTCAGTTCAGGGCTTGGGCTAGGGGTTAAGGAATCCTACGATTTGTTGGGGTCTATATTAGGGGTCCCCTATTTTCGTAAACCGCCCCCACCTTTCGGTTTAATGAACTGGGAGCGGATGACGCCGGGATGCACTGCGACAATCTCATCGCAAAGGCCGCGGCGCCTGATCTCCCTGGCCAACATCAATCGCGCCAGGCACGCGTTGGCGTATGCCGGGATGCCCTTACCTTTGAAGTAGGGGTCTGCAGAGCCATCTGAGATGGCGTAGATATCGCCGGTTACCCACACGAGTCGACGAGGCTTCAGCATGTGATTCAAGAGGTGATGGCCCAGCACACACCTAGTTTATGGTGGGGAGAATATTAAAAAACCTAAATGTTTATTCCTTATTGGGTTTAAGTACGCTTAAAGATGTAAAATGCTACCCAACTATGACAAAGACACGTGGCAAAACTGATCTCCACGCCGCTTTCCACCTTCTTCTCTTCATCGAAGACCGCTCCAGCATTGTTGATGAGCACGTCGATGACTGGATAGGCCTTTAGGATCTGCTCCGCGCACTCTCGTGTACTCTCAGTGCTTGAGACGTCGCACTTGAAAACTTCAGGTTTCTGACCTGAACCTATCCTTGGTAGCCCAGCACCCATATTATAACAAGGGCACCCTTTTTTGGGATGGTTACTTTATGAGGGAACCCATAACCCGAAGAAAGGGCAAAGGGTACCACTGGGCCACCAAGTATCTGGGAAGCAATCGCTTCAGCATCAGCGGTGGCTTTCTCCACGTTCCGAGCTGCGAGAAGCAGGGTGGCGCCCTGCCGAGCCAGTGCCAGGGCAGTTTCAAAGCCTATGCCACCACGCGACGGACCTGTGATCAGCACGGTTTTTCCCTGCATCTCCACTTCAGGGGCATGGAAGCTCCCTTGGAACATCATGTCTTTCGCCACGCGCCATGTGGCTGCCATGGCTCGCACACGCAGGCAAGCGTTCGGTCCCCGTGGCAGGCTTTGCCGGAGGCCGTGGGTGTGAAAACCCTGAAGCCATAGGATAGTATAGGATGCTGTGCAAGCAACAACTCTGTTTGTGGCGGAATCTTCGCATTCCAGGATTCTGATAAAAAGAATCATTGTCATCGTATTCACAAGGGGAGAGAGAGAGAGAGAATATATTCTTATCCATCTCTTCTGTACTGCTACTCTTCGTACCCTTATCGATGGGAATGTTTGTTGTGGCTGCTTTTGCCAAAATTGCAAATCTTGTTACCGTTGCTAATTTTGCTATTATTGCAATTATCTAGCATTGCTATGATTGAAGTTGTTGCTGTTGTTGCTGATGTTGCTCCCACGTTGTTGTTCTTGTTGTCTGCTATGGACCTGCGAGGCCACACTTCTCCAATGCCCGAGAAAAGGCGCCCGGGAGATCAGGACGGCACTTCAACCAGAAGAAAGCCCTAAACCCTAAACCCTAAAAGGAACCCATTCAACGACATCTTCCTTTGCGGCCATCTCTGGATTGGTGAGTCTCCTTCCGGCTTTAGCGGCTTTACACCTGGTTCTCAGCATTTTGAGCGGGGCACTGAACCCCAACACGATATATTTGCTGAGGCCGGCTCCAAGAGTTTAGGGTTTAGGGTTTAGGGCTTAGGGCTTAGGGTTTAGGGCTTAGGGTTTAGGGTTTAGGGCATACTTGGCCAGACATTGGGGCACCCTTAACTGTAAGGAACACACTGCACTGGCGACAGAAAAAGAAGGGGACCCTCGTTTGGATCAACTCTAAAACCTGCTTGGATAAACGTAAACTCTCAACGCTCTCTTAACTTATCTTATCTTGCAATGTAGTCTTTCCCTATGTTGTCCCCTCGGGACTGTCCAATTCGGAGTCTCGCATAAACGAAACCCTGAATGCAGAACCCAAACCCTAAACCCTAAACCCTAAACCCTAAACCCTAAACCCTAAACCCTAAACCCTAAACCCTAAATGCTGAACCCCAAACCCTACTGGCGTGCCGGCCTGTCTGCACGTAGCGCTGGTCCGCCACGCGTAGAAGCAGCTCGAGGAACTGGTGCCGGTTTAAGACCTGAAGCCCTAACCCCTAAACCCTAAATCCTAAAACCCTATACCCTAAACCTTAAACCCGAAGGGGTTTGCGGCTTCGGGTTTTCTAGGGCGATGATGTGGTTCGAACTTGGAGGATGAGGGGAGTAACTGAGTATAGGCACAGAGTAGAGTCCGAGTAGCCTCATTACTGAAGTTTAGGAATTCAAGGTTTAGTGTTTAGGGGTTAGGGCTTAGGGTTTAGAGTTAGAGTACTCATACTTGGTAACTCTACGTAAGGACTCCTCACTGAGTCCCGTGATCCCCGTTAAGAATTCTAGGTTTCCGCCCAAATAGTTAGCGGCCCCCGAACTCCCATCGAGGCCGCCCAGGCCTTCAACATGAGCTTAGGGGGTTTAGGGTTTAGGGTTTAGGGTTTAGGGTTTAGTTCTATCTTGGTGAGGATGCTCAAGAAGCCTAAACCCTAAGCCCGACACTAGGAGGCATTGCCGAACATGGTGGGCGATTGTAGGCCTTCTCAGCTCGCAAGCGGTACATGGAACACACAAGGCTGTCCTCACAGGACAGCGACTTTGGTGGCACAGTGCCTTGAACCACAGTCACGGCTTCTTTGCAGCAGTCCTTCTGCATGTGCGACGCCAGTGTGGCATCCAACAAAGTGTTGAACAGTCTCAAGCATGGATTGCTCATGGTCTCTGTCTTCTTAGTCTTCTTGGAGCTCTGAAGCCACTCATGAAGGTTCAACGGCACCTCGGGCCAGAAACCGAAACCCTTCAGCCTTGTTAGCCCCAAACCCTTGTCAAACACATTTCATGCAGACCCAGCAAAGGCCCCCACAACCGTAGAGTTCGCGGTATCCGGGCCACGGCCCCGGGAAAGTCTAGAATTTGTCGACAGTGGACAAGTGTAGATTGTCGGTGTCCAAGATTCGGAACACAAGCCCCTCAAGAGCCTAAACTGCCACAATTGCTTCAAAACCCTCTAAACCCTCTAAACCCTCTAAACCCTCTAAACCCTCTAAACCCTCTATTCCCTCTAAACCCTCTATTCCCTCTAAACCCTCTAAACCCTCTAAACCCTCTAAACCCTCTAAACCTTTCAAACCTTCTAAACCCTCAAAACCCTCTCAACTCTCTCAACCCTTTAAACACTCTAAACCTTCTAAACCCTCTACACCTTCTAACCCTTCTAAACCCTTTAAACCCTCTAAACCTTCTAAACCGTCTAAACCTTCTAAACCTTCTAAACCCTATACCCTTAGACCCTAAACCCCAAGCACCCCTTTGCTGCCTTGTCATTGGCCAGCCGGACGCCAGCCTTCCGCAGATCCACAGGTAACACCTCCCGAAGGCAAGGACGGGAGTTCAGGGTTCAGGGTTCAGGGTCTAGGGTTTAGGGTTTAGGGTTTAGGGTTTAGGGTTCAGGGTTCAGAATTTAGGGTTTAGGGTCTAGGGTTTAGGGTTTAGGGTTCAGGGTTCAGGGTTCAGAATTTGGGGTTTACGGTTCCCCAAGGCAAGAGCTGGAGGCCCTGCTTCTCACTGGGGAAGGAGGGGATGAGTGCCCTCTAAAACCCTTTAAGGGATTATGTACCAGGCAAGGACTGGAGGCTTTGGGGCTGACGTTTGTGGTTTAGGGTTTAGGGTTTAGGGTATAGGGTTTAGGGTTTAGGGTTTAGGGTTTAGGGTTTAGGGTTTAGGGTTTAGGGCTTGGGGTCCAAGGCTTCGGGTTTGGCTTTTGAGGGTTTGGTGTTTGGAATTTGGCATCTCAAGGTGTCTATACGCAGGGGGGGGGGGGTACTGAGGATTTGCCGTGGTGCTAAAGAACTTGCTGGATGTTGACATGGATGATTGACCCTAAACCCTAAACCCTAAACCCTGAACCCTAAGGACAGCGTCCAGCCTCCCCCCGAAGCGGTTTAGTTTAGGGTTTAGGGTTTAGGGTTTAGGGAGTTTGGGGTTTAGGGAGTTTAGGGTTTAGGGAGTTTGGAGTTTAGGTTTTAGGGAGTTTGGGTTTTAGGGTTTAGGGTTTAGGGTTTACGGTTTAGGGTTTAGGGTTACCCACACGAATCTAGGACCTTTTGCAGCCGGGAATACGTTGACGCAAAGAAATCACAGCAGTAAATTGGATACTCAATGTCACACAAATATAGCCCTTAAAGAAATAATAGTAAGGTCCACGCCCATCTTCGCTGCAAACCACGCGCTTAGGATTTCATGATTCGAGGTAGGGTTTAGGCGTTTAGCAGTCTATATAGGGTTTAGGGGGTAGAGGTTGGGATGTTCGATTGCAATAGGAAGTACTAGAATCCATATTATGAAACCCTAAACCCTAAAGCCTAAACCCTAAACCCTAAACCCTAAACCCTAAACTGTGAGTATAAGGGGTAACATCCCGTTTCCAAGGTAGAGTGTTTAGGGTTCAGGGCTGAAGAGCTCAACTTGCAGGTCTGGGTTTGAAGTTTTTAGGGCTTAGGGCTTAGGGCTCAGGGCTTAGGGTCTAGGGTTTAGGGTTTAGGGTTTAGAGTTTAGGGTTAACTCCCAGGCCAAACGGGCGCCTTGGACGCAATGAAGCACCGATCAATGTCCGACACCCTGCCGGGCAGTCTGCTGCAACAACGGCAACTACCACCTAGTAGGGTTTAGGGTTTAGGGTTTCGGATTTACGGTGTAGGGTTTAGGGTTTAGGGTTCAGGGTTCAGGGTTTAGGGCTCATTTTTTCTGTAGCCCTGAACCCCGACCTCTAGGCCCCGAACACTACACCAACAATAAAATCGTACACATAAGCACGAGACTCTTGATCACGGTACGAAGACAAAACATCAGGCATACTATTGCTAACAGGCATTTTGTCAGTATACTACTAAGACTAGTAGCAGGACGATAATAACTACACCACTAGTACCAGGAACACAACAACTATACCACTAGTAACAGGAATATGACCACTATGCCCGCAAGTAACAGGAATAAACGAACTGTACCACAAGTAACGGGAACAGGATTGTAGGAACTACATCACTAGTAGCAGGAATATAAGAACCATACCACTAGTAACAGAAATATGAACTGTACAACTCGCAACAGGAAAATGAGAACGATACTAGTAGAGGGATTATAAGAACAACAAAAATAGCTGCAATGCTCGCATCCACAGCGCCGGCCTTGTGGTGTCGTCGACCAGACCGGCTTGGGTGAGGAGCGTTGAGGCCTTCTAGACGCAAAAAGACACCCCCCCACCCAAGTTGAAACATGGGTTTAGGAGTTGGTTTCCCTTTTCTTTCCCTTAAGGGCCTTGTTGGGTAATGGTCAGCGGGGTCCTACGCTCGTTTACAGTGTAGGGTTTAGGGTTAAAGAGGTTCAAGGTAGTTTAGGGTCGAGAGTTTGGAGGTTCAGGAGTTGCAGGCTCCATTTTTTTTGAGGATTCAACAGGCTGGCGCTTGAGAGCTTGAAGATAGGGCCGTTTGTAGGGTTTAGGGTTTAGGGTTTAGGGTTTAGGGTTTAGGGTTTAGGGTTTAGGGTTCAGGGTTCAGGGTTCAGGGTTTAGGGGGTTTAGGGTTTAGGGTTTAGGGTTTAGGGTTTAGGGTTTAGGGTTTAGGGTTTAGGGTTTAGGGTTTAGGGTTTAGGGTTTAGGGTTTAGGGGGGCCTTGTGTAGGGTTCAGGGTTCAGGGTTTGTTTTTGAGTTTGGGAGGAGGTTCGGATGCCAGCGGCTGCCTCTCCCCTCCCCGCCTCGAGCTGCGTGACTCCAAAGCCCGTCTCCTTAGCGTTGGAAAACTAGCTGAGAACTCTGTGACCCAATTCTTATAAAGGGGGGCCCCCCCCTCTTCATTGCCAACACAGACAGCTAGACCCAGAAAGCCCTCTACCCCGTCTGGTGGCCCTGGAAGTGTGAAACGTTGAATATTTTGATGCTTAAGAAAGAATATGCGGTTTATAGGGTTTAGGGATTCAGGAAGACAGATCATGGGAAAACCGCACTCCTTCTTGTGTCACGACGCTGAGCTATAAAGGTCTGGAGGCTATTCGGGCCCAGGGTTTATAGGGTTCAGGCGTTTTGGGGATGCCTTCGGGGGCGCTAAACCCTAAACCCTAAGCCCCCCTAAGCCCTAAGCCCTAAGCCCTAAACCCTAAATGAATCCGAGTCTCCCCCGTCGTCCCGATGCAGGAGAGGTCCCGGTACAAAGCCACCAGCTGCCGGTAGTTGGTGGCAATCAACCTCGGTTGGGCTTAGGCCATGTAGGATTCAGGGTTTAGGGTTTAGGGTTGCGGGCTTGGGGTTTAGGGTTTAGGGTTTAGGGCTTGGGGTTTAGGGTTTAGGGTTTAGGGTTTAGGGTTCAGGGTTCAGGGTTTAGGGTTTACGGGGGGGTTTAAAAAGGTTCGGCTTGGTCTTAGGGTCTTTACTTAGCACTTCGGGGTTGAAGAGGTTGGGGTGGCTCGAGGCTTCGAAGCTAAGGTTCATGGGCACCACAAAAATGATCCAGGAGGTCGTCTTGTCTGTTTGCTTAGGGTTTGGTTTTGGGGTTTAGGGCTGGGGTTTAGGGCTCGGGGTATAGAAGTTTCGGGGTTTAGGGTTTAGGGTTTAGGGGGGTTTAAGGCGCTTGGTGCTCTTTTTGGGGGGATAATTGGGGTTCCGAGAAGATGTCAGGGACTCCCCAAGCCCAGTAACCATATTGTAATGAGGGCACCCTTTTTGGAGTTGGCTTTTTCATACGGGGACCCATAACCAAGAACAGACGGTAGAGGGCACCACCGGGCTACCACTAGCCCTAAACCCTAAACCCTAAACCCTGAACCCTAAACCCTAAACCCTAAACCCTAAACCCTAAACCGAATGTGGGGCCGGTTTAGGGCCTTAGGGTTCGGGTTCCCTTTTGCCCATGCTCTTCGCCCCAGTTCTAGGGAGCGAGTCTCCCTGGAGTGGACATTTCGGGTGTAGGGTTTGGGGTTTAGGGTTTAGGGGTTTAGGGGTTTAGGGGTTTAGGGGTTTAGGGTTTAGGGTTTAGGGTTTAGGGTATAGGGGTTTAGGGTCCGGGGTTTCTTCCGTGAGGAGCAGAAGCGACTCAAGGAGTGAATCCGAGAATGCCTCCTACGTGGGTTTTGGTTTAGGGTTTAGGGTTTAGGGTTTAGGGCTTAGGGCTTAGGGCTTAGGGCTTAGGGCTTAGGGTTTAGGGTTTAGGGTTTAGGGTTCAGGGTTCAGGGTTTAGGGTTTAGGGTTTAGGGTTTAGGGTTTTTATCTGGGGCATCCGAGTACAAGACGCTCTTCAGGAAGCACCCTCACCTTGACGCATGTTCTACGAAGATTTCCGCGGCACGAAAACATATCGTACAATGTTCGTGGCGAGCAAGCTTGCGCCGGCACCAACGCCTAAACCCCAAACCCAAAGTTTGGGGTTTAGGGTTTAGGGTTTTGGGTTTTGGGGTTTGGGGGTTAGTAAGGGTTTTTGGGCCCCAAGCCCCCAAAAAAACCAAAAAACCCAAACCAGCTCCTGGCCAACCCCAACCCTGTCGAGTGTAAACTAGGGTTTAGGGTTTAGGGTTTAGGGCTTAGATGCAATCGAAGTGCCGCTCAGACTCCTGCCGTTCCGCATCTTTGCTCACCTGTTCAGCTTCATTTGCTGTTGAGCTAGTTTAGGGTTTATACAGCCTAGGCTTTTTTTGGGGTTTTAAGTGTCTTCATAGGGTTGATAGGGTTTAGCGCTCCAGCACTGCGGGCCTGGATTCTTACGGGTACGCCGGTAGGGGGTTCGGTTGCCTCTCTTTCAGTGCACATCCGGACTGCAGTAGCAGCTTGACTCGAATCGAGCCTCACAAAATGCAAAAACTCGATGCGCCAACGACCCATTCAATACTGCCCAAAACCATACACACCCCTAAACCCTAGCCTCTTACCCTTGCGTACACTTTAGGCCCCCTAAAACCCATACACCCCTAAACACTCCCCAGAAACAGAACCCATAGCCCAAAGCCCCATGATTCACTCCCTACTCCCTACATGCCTAAACCCTCAAACCGTTAAACCGCCTGACCCTCGAACCCTTACCCTTCATAACTTGGAGCCCTCTTGAGGCCGGCGGCCAATCGGGCAACTTTGGCCCGGGACCAGTCGAGCAAGAAGCACGCCTGCACCTGGCAGCAAAGGGTTGAGGGTCCTAAACCCTAGACTGCCTAAACCCCATAAACCCTATAAACCCTATAAACCCTATAAACCCTAAAAACCCTAAAAACCCTATAAACCCTATAAAGCCTATAAACCCTATAAACCCTATAAACCCTATAAACCCTATAAACCATATAAACCCTATAAACCCTATAAACCCTATAAACCCTATAAACCCTATAAACCCTATAAACCCTGTAAACCCTATAAACCCCATAAACCCTATAAACCCTATAAACCCTATAAACCCTAAACCCCCACACCCCCTCCCTCCTCCCCCGTCCTCAAAAAGCACTCGCCGGGGTGGCGACTTTCTCGCTCTCGTGGCGGAAAGTCGCGTAGAAAGCTGGGCCGCGCGGGGGCTTGGTTCTCATGCCTCTGAGGGAGCCGGGATGTTTTTGGGGGTGAGGGCTGAGGGTTTTAGGGTTTTAGGGCTTAGGGCTTAGGGCTTAGAGTTTAGGGTTTAGGGTTAGGATTAGTGGCTTCAGGGCTGTTTAGAACTTTGGCGCGTGCAATTTTTGTTTTTGGATCGGGATGTGGGGTTTCGGGGGAAAGAGAGCAGCGGCCTGTCGAAGAACGGGGGTCGGCCGGCGGGGGTGCCCCCCTAATTGCCCTAAACCCTAAACCCTCAACCCTAAACTCTCAACCCTAAACCCTAAACCCCAAACCCCAAAATCCCCAAAGCCAGACCCCACAGCCCCTAGAAACCCCAAAGCCGACTCAAGGTGTGGCCATGTGGCGGAACTCGGATTCTGTGATGCGCGGCATCTGAACCTCGGCGCTCAAAAAGGGGCTGAACCCTGCTCTAGGGGATAGGATGAGGGGGACCCTTGGGGATATAGACCCTCTGAATAAGGTCCCTGTTTAAGAGAGCCAGAAGAGGGTTAAGAAGGGGTTCCCTTTTAAGGGTCCCCCTTATCCTACCTAGGCTGCTCCGCCTGCAACCGAAAAGCGCCCGAAAGCTGCCCACACTCCCGCAATACAGGGTTGAGGGTTTATAGGGTTTCGGGTTAGAGGATTTAGGGCTTAGGGTTTATAGGGTTTATCGGGTCTACAGGGTTTACAGGGTTTATAGGGTTTATAGGGCTTATAGGGTTTATAGGGTTTATAGAGTTTATAGGCTTTGTAGGCTTTGTAGGCTTTATAGGGCTTAGGGCTTCCAGGGCTTAGGGGGTTTAAGCTTTGACGGCTCCCCAGGGGTGCAGCCGAAGAGGCCGGCCCCACCCCATCCGGGCCATCCAGCAGGACGCTGCGCTGGGCGGCGCCAGCGCCCCGATCCGGGGCGGAGTGGAGGACGGCCGCTTTGGGCATCCTCTGGGTTCTCAGGGTTTAGGGTTTAGGCGTCTAGGGTCTAGGGTTTAGGGTTTAGGGTTTCGGGTTTAGGGTTTAGGGTTTAGGGTTTGGGATTTCGGGTGCAGGGTTTAGGGTTTGGAGGGCAGCTTTGGACATCCTCCGGATTCCGTCATAGGATTAGCTTGGGGACCAAATGAACCCAAAACAATTTGGGCCACCTGCACTCTACTACTATAATTCCTAGCATATGGTTTAGGGCTTAGGGTTTAGGGCTTAGGGTTTAGGGTTGAACCATGAGCCCTTTTAGGTTTCATGTGGTCCCCAGTTCATAGGAATTACTTCGGGTTCAGGCTGTCGGTTGGGGGGTTGTAGGGGTTGCAGGGTCCACCATTGAAATCTTGTGCTTTCCCCTCAAGCACCAAAGGCCTCTGTGCGGGTTGGAGGGATTTCGGGTTTCTGTAAACCCCATAAGCGCTTTAAACTGGGTGGTGATAGGCAGGGACCAAGCTGTTGAAAAGGCAGAGAGCACTCGTTCCGTCCACCGCCACCATCTAAGCCCTTGTAAGCCTTAAAGGCCTATCGGTCTTATAAACCCTGGAGCCCCTATAGACCCTATAGGCGTTCCAAACCCCTCCTAGAAGCCCTATGCAATACGCCTTATGAGCTCTACATGCCTTATAAACCCTGGAAGCCCTCTAAGCCCCTTCGAAGGTCTGCTGGGTAAACCCTAAACCCTAAACCCTAAACCCTAAACCCTAAACCCTAAACCCTAAGCCCTAAGCCCTAAGCCCTAAACCCTAAACCCTAAACCCTAAACCCTAAACCCTAAGCCCTAAACCCTAAACCCTAAGCCCTAAACCCTAAACCCTAAACCCTAAACCCTAAGCCCTAAACCCTAAACCCTAAACCCTAGACCCTAAACCCTAACCCCTAAACCTTCGAAGGTCTGCCGGGTCCTCAGCACAAGACGATGCTCCAAGGACTTGGAGACTCGTCGCGCCTCCTGGAGCACCACCTCCTGAGGTTTAGGGTTTAGGGTTTGGGGTTTAGGGTTTAGGGTTTAGGGTTTAGGGTTTAGGGCTTAGGGCTTAGGGTTTAGGGTTGAGGGTTGAGGGTTGAGGGCTGAGAGCATTAGCTCGCACAAAAACCTCAATGGAAGCGCAAGGCCATGTGGCCCGCGCTCTCATTCTGGGCTTTAGGAACTTTAGGGCTTCACAAGGCTCTATAGGATAAATAGGGCTCTTAGGGCTCAGTGGCTCTTCTTTTTAGGCTTCCAGTATTTAAAAGGTTTACAGGGGAGGTTTAAAGCGGCCCTATTTCAAGCCCAGAGTGCCAAGACTCTTCATCGAAACAGGGCCACTTGCCAGAAACTCTTTTTTCGGCGCAGCTTGAGAAGCTGCATGTTGTGGTGGCTGACCGCTGCTTTCTGCAGGCACCCTTGGCTGTCCCTTCGCTTCCACGAAGAGTCCACAGGGTAAAATGAATCTCTGGTCCGCAGCGACTTAGCCTTCAAAAGCAGGGCATGGCCGGCACACCCCGATGATCTAGGGCCCCACTGTTGAATGAATGAATACACCGATATATATATATATATATATCTCTCTCTTTTTATATATATAGAGTTATATATATATATATATATATATTGCATCTGTATATATATATATAGCTGTATATCTGCGTATGCATTTTGGTTAATTAGTTTTGCCAAGCTGTACAAGTACATGGGCTTGAAGAAGAGAATATTGGTTACTTAGGCTCGTGTATCATGTACCTTGGGGCCATCCGTGTGCAGCTTTCTGTGGCTCAGCACCTCCTCCCTTGCTCGGCCGCAGGTTTCATGGCACTCTGCAAGGTGCTCTGCAGCTTCAATGCGTCTGCATCATCGGGACCGAAGTTAGAGAGCATCGCAGGGACGTAGCGCAGCACAGACCTCGGCAGCTCCGGCGGAGGTCCCCGTGCTCCACACAAGGTCATGAGGTCCTGGCCGGCATGGAACATCTCCATGAACCTCTCGGGGCAGGGCGCATGCGAGGCACCGCAGCGAAAGCCTCCTCCACACCCCGCGGCCAAGCATTCGCAAATGGCTGTCGCCCGGCAGGCGGCCCCTGCAGCGTGGATGCGCAGGACGCGCGGCTTGGCCGGGGGTACAAGGGCACCCAGCTGTTGCAAGGCAATTGCCTGAGAGGCACAAATGGTTGCGGACAAGTCCAGCACACGAACGACCAGGTGGTGAACGGCCGAGAGCTGCTTGGCGGTGGTCAACACGAGGTCTTCCAGCCAGTCTGGTTCGAAGCTTTCCAACCCTCCTGTCTGGGCTTGCAATTCCACACGGTCCAGCTTCTCCTTGAAGATCGCTTCCATCTTCACCTTGGATGACATCAGTTCGGGGTCCACCTCCCCGCAGGCGCACACCCAGGTACAGCAGCTGTCGCCCTCTGCCCTCTCTGCTCCCATCATCGGGCGAACTAGTCCGCCACAACCCTTCGGGCACTGGAAGCTCCGGCAGTCGTCTGCTTTGGAGCAGCGCGGGCAATGGCAGAGGAAGGCTTTGCTGCACAGGAGCTGCTTGCGCCGAAGGGTGATGGGCGTTGCCCACAGAGTCGAAGGCTCAAGGTATGAGAAGGTGATCTGCTCACCTTCGCGAATGCTGCGAATCGCCTGATACCGGAGCTTGGCCCCGACCTTTGAGGTGTACATGCCTCAGTAAGCATATTCTATCAAGGGCACCAATTTTTTGGTTAGTCGCTTTTTGTAAGGGAACCCAGAACCAGGAAAGGGGTAAAGGGGTACCACCGGGCTACCAAGATTCAGTTTGGCAAACAGGAGTGTGCCACCTTGGAGGCCATGACGAAAAGCGCGCTTTTGGAGTCGACCGGTCGTCCCCCAACCACCTCTTCATAGACGCCCCGCTCGCCCTTCCAGGCATGGGCGTTGGTCTTGAGAATGGCGCACAGCTTGAGCGCCTCTTGCAAAGGCACATCTTTGCAGGCAAAATGCAAGGCAGCAGCACGGAACTCCTTCACAAACTCGATGTTGGATTCCAGTGGCGGGTGGTACATGTCCAGGATCTGTGCCTTCTTCTCCGTGGACAAGTTCTGGAAGCTTTGCAGATACTCCAAGCATCCGCCCTGCCAAACGAAAATTGGCTCCTCCTCCAGCACTGTCTCACCCGGCTGGAAATGGCGAGTCGCCACAACCACACGGCCCATGCCTTCAGCTTCTGAAATCCGGACAGCCATGGCTCGAAGACGAGGCCCCGAGGCCCTCTATACTCCAGCAATCACCGCCGCAGGCGTATACTAGAAATCAGGCTGCAGGTGTGCGTCCCTTTGGCGGTACAGTTGCAGTTTCAAGAGGAACCAGCAGGTCATGGTAGCACACTATGGTTGTAACCTACCACCCAAAAGCTCAACCCCAGAACTCAAAACTAAACCCAAGATACGAAGAACCTACAGAAGACTACATCAGCCCATAAAACCCAACGCGCGTCCTGATCAGATGGAGGCGCCAGGATCGGCAGCTCCTTCCGTTCTTGCAGGGGCAACAAGGGAAACCCCTTCTCTAGGGTTTCTAGGGTTTCTAGGGTCGGGGTTAGGGGTTAGGGGTTAGGGGTTAGGGGTTAGGGGTTAGGGGTTAGGGGTTAGGGGTTAGGGGTTAGGGGTTCGGGGTTCGGGGTTCGGGGTTTCGGGGTTCGGGGTTAGGGGTTGGGGGTTGGGGGTTGGGGGTTAGGGGTTGGGGGTTAGGGGTTAGGGGTTAGGGGTTAGGGGTCAGAGTTTATGACTTCGACCCACCCTTAGAATCCCTGAATAAACTAGGGACTGCCCCCCCCCCAAAAAAAAAAAAAAACCTTAAACCTTTGGTCCCCACATACCCCCTGGTTCTGAGTCGGGAATGAGGGTCAGGGCCCTGTATATACCCTTTACGGGATTGTATAGGGTACCTCATTCCCCCATTCCCTACTAAGAGCCCCTAAACCCTAAGCCCGAAACCCGAAACCCTAAACCCTAAGCCCTAAACCCTAAACCCTCAACTGTGATTTCTGCCAGGGGCCTCGCAGGCCCGCAACTCGATCTCCGCAGGCGTTTCGAGGTCCTCGATCTCGCAGCCAGCAGGCGTTCTCAGAGCACAGTCCACCTTTTCCAGGGGGGGGGTTCGGGGTTTAAGGCTTCGAGGGTTTAGGGTTTAGGGTTTAGGGTTAAGGGTTTAGGGTTTAGGGTTTCGGGTTTCGGGTTTGAGGGCTGGGCGGGGTGTGGGGGGTTTCGGGGTTTAAGGCTTGTAGGGTAGGGCCCCAGAAAACCCCATAACCCCTTCAATGTCTGAGAGGTTTTGGCTTGGCTTCGGGTTTAGGGAGCGCTTTTGGCGGCGTGGGGAGTTTAGGGTCTTATAGGGTGTAGAGAGCCTAAAGAAAAGAAGGGGGCTACCTTGAGTTGAACGTCGAAGCCTCTCCCCTTTTGCGTGACCGCCCCTCCCCTAAACGTGTCTGTATGGCGCGGAACCAAGGGCGCAGCATCATAAAGGAAAATTGACGCCCTCAGAAAAGGGTGCTACTGGGCATTTCCTAACCTTTTTATGAGTTGGACGTATGGGCTCCCAGTGACTCTGGGGTTCTTCTGGTCAGTCGAGCTTCAAATACGGCCTCTATGATCAGACGCAAGCACTATTTGGGGGCCCCCCCCCCCCGTTCAAAAAAGGACCGGAAAAGCCTAAACAGAAACGAGAGGGAACTTCAGTAAGCACATTACAATAGGGGCACCTTTTCTTAGGGTCGGATACTGTATACGGAACCCATAACCAAAAAGAAGGGTACAGGGTACCACCGGGCTACCAGGTAAAAGCAGTGCGGCCCTAAACGCTAAACCCTAAACCCTAAACCCTAAACCCTACCCTATACCCTAAACCCTAAACCCTAACCCCTAACGCCTAAACCCTAAACCCTAAACCCTAAACCCTAAACCCTAAACCCTAAACCCTAAACCCTAAACCCTAAACCCTAAACCCTAAACCCCCCCCCCCCCTGCCTGGAAAATCACCAGGACTCTGCAGCTTCTGGGGATCATGCGCGCAGCCACGAACCTCGGGAGAGCCTCCCGCTCTCCTTGGCGTCTGACAGAAAACCCAATAAGGAAACCCGAAACCCGAAACCCGAAACCCGAACCCTAAACCCGAAACCCTAAACCCTAAACCCTAAACCCTAAACCCTAAACCCTGAACTAAACCCTAAAAGCTTTGGGACAACTGCACCCAACCTCTCCCGTCAAAAAGGGAGTCAAGGACTTTGACTTGCAGATCCAGGGTGGCGGCGTAGGGATTTTGGTGCCATTTTGCTGCTCTACAACAAATCTACTCCCTAAGAACCTGAAGAAAAACATCCATATTCCCTTGGGCCTTTATATAACGGAAAAAAAATAATTCCAAAGGGGGCTATAGAGAAGGTCAAAATCTTCGTAGCCCAGTAACCATCTCATAATAAGGGCACCCGTTTTTGGGTTGGATATTCTATAAGGGAAACCAGAACCCAAAACAAAAAGGGGTAAAGGGTACCACTGGGCTACCAAGAAATTAAAAAAACGAATCTCGACGCAAGCGGCCGCTCCTTTGCTCCTCCTTGAGTCTCAAGCCGGCGCGGAAGCCATCGATGGAGGTGAACGCCCACACTGCCTGGCAGCTGTGCCACGGCCTAAACCCTAAACCCTAAACCCTAAACCCTACACCCTACACCCTACACCCTAAACCCTAAACCCTAAACCCTAAACCCTAAACCCTAAACCCTAAACCCTAAACCCTAAACCCTAAAAGAAGAGGGGGGTTTAGGGTTTAGGGTGTAGGGTTTCGGGTTGTCAATGGCAATTAGAGGGCTGGGGTCATGCAGGGTTCCAAAGTGCAGGCGCGCTCAAGGTTATCCCAACTCAGGACTAAAGCCTATATAAGTTATAAGCCCTCAACCCCATAAACCCTAAACCCCCGAACCCTAAGCCCTAAGCCCTAAGCCCTCCCAATAAGAGGACCGCATGAGTCTACTAAGATGTCACAAGAGCATCGGAAGATGCCAGGCGTTTAGGGTCCTAAACCCGAAACCCTAAACCCTAAACCCTACACTCCTGTACAAGCCCTAAGCCATCCTAATAAGCCCTTCCGGCCTGTGGCTTCTGCTCATCTGCTGCCGGCTGCCACACCAGCTCATGTCGCTCCCAGCCTGCTGGGCTTGTTTAGGGGTTCTTGTTGAAGGGTTTCGGGATTAGGGGATTTAGGGGGATTTAGGGGGGTTTAGCGGGGTTTAGGGGGCTTAGGGGGTTTAGGGGGGTTTAGGGGGGGTTAGGGGGTTTAGGGGGTTCAGGGGGTTTAGGGGGTTTAGAGGGTTTAGAGGGTTTAGAGGGTTTAAGGGGGTTTAGGGGGATTTAGAGGGGTTTAGGGGGGTTTAGGGGGTTTAGAGGGTTTAGAGGGGTTTAGAGGGTTCAGAGGGTTTAGAGGGGTTTAAGGGCCTGTAAGCTTGCAGGTATCGGCATGCTTGCGTAAGCGCACAGCCTTTCTAGGCTGGTCTCTAGGGTTTAGGGTTTAGAACCCAATAATTGCAAAATTTTATCGCCAACGTACCTAGAATACTATAGGCTTTCGATGCCATTGGAGTGTGAAGCAGAGAGATGTGGGAGGAAGTGCTTGCGTCTTTTTACAGCCGGTGAGGAAAAGCAAGGCTTAGACAACTTGTCTGCACAGTCAGAGCTACAGTCCGTTGTATATGTACAGAGTACATGAAAGACTAGACCTAATGGTGTAACGCATGTTGTTGCGGCACTGGTGCGTAGCTTCTTCTTTAAAGAAGGCAGTGCCTGCAACAAGCACGAACGCTCCATAGTTGAAATCTCTGCAGCGGCGCTTGCAATCGGTGATGCTGGCATCAACTTGTACCTCGGCAGGTGGATTGACAATCATAGCCTGGGTGCTCCTCGAACTCCTGGTCTGGGCGGCCAACAGCTGGCCGGTGGAAAACGCCGCTTGCAGCCACACGGCGGCCTCCTGCCAACGCAGAGCAACCCGCAGCTGCAAGCCACACAGCACCAACTGCTGGAGCAACAGGCCCACCCCAAATTATTGAAATGATTCCAGCTCCTTTTCCCAAGGTTGCAAGGCTGAATCCCTCCGCGGCCACACCTCCACCAAGTCCGGCAATTCCCCATTCTGTAATGCAAGCACGTCGATGTCTGACTCGGAGAAGCGTGATGTTTGCATTCACCGGCTCGGGACACATAAAATCTTGACAGATCTCAGCATCTCCTGCCCCTACACGCCACAGATTGCATGTGACTCCGTTGACCGCCGACGGCGAGCTGCTAAGAAGACCAACGTGTCTTCCTCAAGTGATGCAAAGAAAATAGCTGCCGTAGTACCGAGGCTAAGCGTGGCGAACTGCTCGAAGATGTAGCCTGCCTGGTCGGGCGTGTGCGCCCCAATGGTCTCGAAATCTACTCTCGCCATCCTGCACAGCTTTTTTGTCGCATCATCTTCCAGTCCACGCATCAAGCTCGAGGCAGCGCTTTGCTGACTTACCAAGATGCATGCAGTCACTTGTACATGCGTGCCGTGTCCCCACTTTTGCTGGGCCCAGTGAAGCCGCAAGGCATGCAACTGATCGAGAGCCGAATGGAATAAGGTCCACGCGTGCTCAGTCATGGCAACGTTGTCAGGATTGTGCATGGGCCTTCGCCTGTTCACTTGGCGGAGGGCTGCCCAACTGACCATGTCCATTTCTGATATTCAAGACGTCGACGAGTCGCTCCCCGAAAAATTCCATAGATCATTCATGTGCACAAAGCTACCCCAATGACTTGATGAACAACGCCTGCAGAACTGGTGCCCTCAACAACAAAGCCGTAAACCACCCTGGATGAGGCTGAAACGGCATATTTGAAGCTCGGGTCTTATCCCTCGTTCGATCGTCTCATATCCAAGAACTGACATTCTCTGAGAGTTTAGGACGACGGCCGAGGGTTTCTGAACGACCCTAAGCCAACCACGCCACCACGCAACACAAGCCTTCGCATGCCCAGCATGTCGTTTGCTGCTCCAAAACGTCACGTTCTCGGAGCACCTGACTGAGGTACAGGGGCGAAACCCTAAACCCTAAACCCAAAACCCAAAACCCTAAACCCTAAACCCTAAACCGCGTGCCAGGGCTTGGTTGAGGGCTGTTAGGGGTTTCGTGCTTTGAGTGTTTGGGGGGTTTGGGGCTTTATCGGGTACGGGGCTTAGGGTTTAGGGTTTAGGGTTCAGGGTTTGCCTTGGTATACCCCATCTGCTCATCATTCTCTACTAGGAAAACTTACGAATTCCTGCGGTGCAGTGGGGTGGCTGGACAGGGTGAAGAAAGATGTTCAAGAGAAATCAGCTTGGCGTTGCGTTTCGCAGCTGAATGCAGCCCTCCAAGAGGCTTAATGAAGATGGTTTTCTTGTGTGATATTGGATTCTTGCATGCTGCGTACCAGTCTCACTGCAGTGCTGGCCGCTGGTGTTGTTGCAAACGATTGTAGTGTTGCAAGGGTTAGGATTTCGAGTCTGGGGCGCACCAGAAGAGCTGCCAGCTGTCTTGCGATTGCGAGGTAGATTCTTTGGGAAGCACCAGCGGAGACCCACCCACAAACTTGCAGTGAAACCACGTTCCAGCTGCAACTGCAAGGGTGGGGGCGAGAAGACGAAAGCTAAGCACTCCAAACAGATGGCCCTTTAAACCCTAAGCCCTAAATTCCCAACGAAGTCCACCTGTACGACTTGTGCTGAGCCTTGCCTTTACCTAATACACTATACACGTGTGAGAGCTGTGGTTTGTGCCTTCCTAAGTGCAGGTTTTCGGTTTCAGGGCCAGGGTTTCTCGTTTAGGGCTGCCAGAAAGGCATGTGCATCTGCAGTAGCTGAGCATGTCACCGTCTCTCTGAATAAGGCAGGCACATCTTCATCCGACCACATGCTTGCCTCCGCTTGCCCAGACACCTTAGATGATCGTCTGAATCAGCGACCCTGCCGAAGCCCTGAAGCGTAACGCCAAAAGGAGCCCCAAACCCGAACCAACCGTAGACTCCAAAGAGTTCTACCTCGGGTTTCTTCGGGTTGAGGGTTTTAGGGTTTAGGGCTGACTCTATCTAAAAATTGGGGAACACACCGCAAGTGGCATGGGGTTCCCTTTCTATACCCTAAACCCTACACCCTACACCCTAAACCCGAAACCCTAAACCCCAAACCCTTCATTCAAGCGTAGTGGGCTCTCGATTTCTGGTGTCGAGCCACATCTGCCGTGGTGGGTCTTGAAGAAGCCCCCAGCCGATCTTCGTTGCCCTGCGGAAGGTGCAGGGTTTAGGGTTTAGGGTTTAGGGTTTAGGGCTTAGGGCTTAGGGATTAGGGTTTAGGGTTTAGGGTTTAGGGTTTAGGGTTTAGGGTTTAGGGACCCTAAACCTGTAAAACCCCTCTAGAGCCCCCAAATCCTGAAACCGTAGGGCGCCCTAGACCCCTAAACCCTCTCAACCCGCAAAATCTCAGAGCCCCAAAGACTAAAACCCTAAACCCCTAAAACCCTAAATCCCTAAACCCCTTAACTTCAAAAACCCTAAAACCCTAAACCCTACACCCCTAAAAACCCTAAAACCCCAAAAAACCCTCAACCCTAAACACCTGGCGCAGCTCCCCATAGCGCTGGGGCTGCGCCCCACAGCGCGGCGATGGCCTCCTCGGGAGTGACGATCAGGGTTTTAGCATTAGGGTTTTAGGGTTTAGGGTTTAGGGTTTTAGGGTTTAGGGTTTAGGGTTTTAGGGTTTAGGGTTTAGGGTTTGGCATTAGAGGTTTATCCTGGCTGGTTCTTAGTGGGGCAATCGGGTACCCATTAGGGGGATATAGGGTACCTCATTCCTTCATTCCCTACGAAGAACTGGCAAGTTGTAGGGTGTATGGGATTTATAAGGGTTGTGGGGTTATAGTGTATATAGTGTTTATAGGGATTAGGGTGAGGGGTTTGTGGGTTTACTTATAGTTTTGATGGGTTTGGGGCTTATAAGGGCTTAGGGTTTCGGATTATAGGCCAGCCCCTAAACCCTGCAATAAACCCTGCAAAGTAGCAAGAAATACCCCTCTGGCGCGAAAGTAGAACAGTAGGTATTGGGAGACCCGGGTCGGCTAAGGTATTTGGGATTAATGGCTTGTCTAATGAACGGATGAGAATGAAGTCCTTCAAGCGCTGAGGTGAAACTATACTGGCGCTATAACCACAAGAAAGACAGTAGGCTTATCCCCTTGGGAGATGAAGCATGCATATCTGTATACACAAATGAAAGGACAATTGCTACGCAAAAGTATAGGGAAGGGCTTGGGTGTCAAAATGTAGGTCTTTCGTGGGGTGCTTTAAAAACCGTAGGCCTTTTGGGGCAGTTTCCCTAAACCCTAAACCCTGAACAGTAAACCCTTAAATCGTAAACCCTAAACCCCTGCGATGCTCAAGGCCTGCTGGGGCAGTTTCCGGCTTCGGGCATTGTGAAGTGCTAGGAGTCTGTCACCAACCTCGTAGGGTTTATGGGCTTAGGGCTTGGGGTTTGGGCCTTGGGGTTTAGGATTTGGGGCTTAGGGTTTAGGGTTCGAAGTTGGGGGTTTAGGGTTTAGGGGCTTAGGGCTTGGGGTTTCGGGTTTGCAGCTCTCCAACACCAGCCAAGAGTCGAGACTTGAGATGGGACGCCGTCGACATTCGGGCTGAGGAAGCCTTGGGTGCACGGTTTAGGGTTTAGGGTTTAGGGTTTAGGGTTTAGGGTTTAGGGTTTAGGGTTTAGGGTTTAGGGTTTAGGGTTTAGGGTTGAAGAGAACATCGAGTGCTGAGGCACAGAACCTCAAACCTAAAACCTAGGGCTTAGGGGGGCTTAGGGGGTTTAGGGTGTTTGGGGGGGGGGGGGGGGGGGGGGTTGGGGGGGGGGGGGGGGACAGGATGAGGGGGAGAGGTAGGGCTGAGGGGGGGGAGGGGGGGGGAGGGGGGGGTGTGTTGTGGCGGTGGTGGGGGTGGGGATCGGGGCTCAAGTGGGTAGGTGCTGGGGGTAGGTGGGGTTGGGAGAGTTTAGGTGTTGGTGTTTGGCCGTATGGGCGGGGGATGCTTTTTCTGTGGGGAGGTTGCATGTTGGAGTGGTTTAGGTGGTGTTGGTTCGCGGTGGTGCGGGTGTGGTCTATAGATCCTTGGTCGTGTGGGTTTTTGGAGGGGTGGCTGGGGTGGGTTGGGGGTTTGTGTTGGGGTGTGGGGGTCGGGGTCTCCGGGGGTCGCGGGTTTTTAGTCTTGGTGTGTGTGTTGCGGTGGGCGGATGGAACGGTTGGACGTGCGGGGGGTTTGCTGGCGTGGTTGTTGGGTGGCGGTGGGTGGGGGGGTGTGGGGGGGTTGATTGGGGGGGTTGGGGGGGTTAGCGGGTTTAGGGGGCTTCGTGGGGCTGAAGGGGTTTAGGGTCTAGGCTTTAGGGCAGGTGGTCTACGAGCCTTTGTGGAGGTTCAAAAGGCAGGTGATGCAGGAGCCAACGACTACGCACCAATCTCCAGTAGCCCAAGACTGCCCTTCCTCCTCCTTGTGTTTGCATTGCAAAGGGTCACTGCGAGATCTAGACTGCTCACCCTCTTCTGCGCTGACAAACAAAACAGTGGGGGCGGGGGGAAACCCTAAACTCAAACCCCAAACCCTGAACCCATAAAGCCACCCCTTTTGAAGAACCCTCAACCCCAAACCCCAATCCCAGAACCCTAAACCCCAAACCCCACCCCATAAAACCTCCTCCCTCCCCCCCCCACTATGGCGCAGGGCCACCGTCGGCGTCAATGATGGCAGCGTTGCCCACGATGTGGAGACCGTAGAGGTGGTGGTTGTCACGCAGGCCCTCTGCGATGACCTCGTCTTCGGGGGTCCCCTGAAAACTCTTCCCCCCAACACAGACTTTCCTGTAGTGAACTCCTCATAAGTCCCCCAAAAAAGTTCTAAGCCCGAAGCACTAGACCCGAAACCCTGAACCCCTCATGTTCCCCACAGAAAAATAAACGTTCAATGACCCTCCCTAAGAGTCCCGAAGGGCAAAAACATTAGGGGTTTCAGACCCTGAACCTAAACCCTAAACCCTAAACCCCAAACCCCAAACCCCAAACCCGAAACCCGAAACCCTAAACCCTAAAACCCTAAAACCCCTAAAACCCTAAAACCCTAGACCCTAAAACCCCAAAACCCCAAAACCCCAAAACCCCAAAACCCCAAAACCCTAAAACCCTAAAACCCTAAAACCCTAACACCCTAACACCCTAAAACCCTAAAACCCTAAAACCCTAAAACCCTAAACCCACCTGAAAAGCTGCAAAAACCAAGCCTCAAGACATGGACCCGGTGCCTTCAGCTTTAGGTGAGTTTAGGGGTTTGAGGGCTTTTGGCTGTTTTTGGAGAGGGTGTGGGCCGCCAGAGGGCTTGAGGGGTCTTTGGGCTTGTATTTAGGCTGTTTAGGGTAGAGCTTTAGGGGTCTTGGGGTTTTTAGGGTCTAGGGTTTCGGGTTTACCGGTTTGCCCTGAAGAGCTCGCGCACCTTGCAGCTGGCAGCATCGAGGTTGTTGTAGCTCAAGTCGAGGTGATAGAGGGTCACCTGGGTCTGAGCGGCATTCTCTGGGACATCCTGTTCGGGTCTAGCACCTAGGACTTCCTTGAACATGAGTTGTATTTGAGCACAGCCTGCATGCGGCCAGGTATAGTGGGACAGGATTCCCCTTCCCCTCACACCCCTGCCCACAAAGAACAAAAGTACGCTCTTTGCTCTGCAAAGAATTTCGAGGACAGCTACGGTTACTCTACATAAAAGCCTCTTGAAATTAAAAACTATATATATATATACATATACATATATATGAGCTTCTTATGCAACTCTTACGTCTAAATGTATAATCCACAAACCACCCCCAAAAAATCCCACAATGCCCCCCCCCCCCCCCCCCCAAACTCCATAATGCTCCAGAACACCCCATAAGAATGCACAATGCCTATAAACCCTAAACCCCTAAACCCCTACACCCCTGAACCCCTAAACCCCTAAACCCCTAAACCTCTAAACCCCTAAACCCCTAAACCCCTAAACCACTAAACCCCTAAACCCCTAAACCCCTAAACCTCTAAACCCCTAAACCCTAAACCCTAAACCCTAAACCCTAAACCCTATACCCTAACCCTAAACCCTCTAGACCCTCTAGACCCTAAACCCTGAACCATCTGCAGCCGCAGCCGCGGAGGCGCGCAACGCCTCCGCCAAGGCCCCAGCGCCGGCGGCTGCGCCGGCGTCCCCGAGGTTGTTCCTCGCCCGGAGAGGCTCTTCGCAGGGTTTGCAACGGGGGTTTAGGGTTTAGGGTTTAGGGTTTAGGGTTTAGGGTTTAGGGTTTAGGGTTTAGGGTTTAGGGTTTCGGGTTTAGGGTTTAGGGTTTAGGGTGACTTGAGGGCGTGGAACGGGATCGGAGAATTTCTAGGGATTCTAGGGTTTTGAAAAGCATGTGCGGTTGAGAGGGTTTTATTGGCTCTTGAGGCGTTCACGGCGGAAGGGGTTTGGGGCATGTAAGGGTTAAGGCTCTTGTGGCGTTGAAAAGTCAAGTTCGGGGTTCAGGTGGACTTTCTTTGTTGGAGCTTCTGAGGGTTTCGAGGTGTGATGGATCATAGCAGAGTCTGGAGTTTAGGATCCTCCTTGCTGAAAAAATATCACTGCCCTCGATACGATCGCCTCTGTGATTGCCTGGTCCTCCTTACGTTGTTGTCGCGTGGCTTCCGCGGTCAGTGCACTTTGTATGCATATGCTTCGGAGCACCATCGATATGACGTCTGCGCACAAGAGAAGTGGAAGTTCATGGTCATGGCTTCACAGGAGTCATGAAAAAATGAGTGTAGCCTGGTTGGATTTCACCAAAAAAGGCCAGCTGCTTAGTTCATTCAATACTTCAGCGATGCCGACGTAGAACAGGTCGCGCCGGTTTCCCTAAACCCCTAAACCCTAAACCCCTGTAAGCCCCTAAGCCCCATAAGCCCTAACCCCTAAACCGCCTGAACCGCCTAAACCGCCTAAACCCTAAACCCTAAACCCTAAACCCTAAACCCTAAACCCTAAACCCTAAACCAACAGCTCGCTAGACCGAGGCTCCAAGCTACATCCAAGTCAGCGAGATGTCCACCATGGCCTCACTTTGGTAGGGTCCATGGTTTAGGGTGGCAAACGGGGTTTGGGGACACTTGAAGTAGGTCCCCAAGCGGTTGAGCAACCATATGTCTAAAGGGCACCCCAAACGACGCCACCATTCAGAGAAAGGGGACCCTAAACCCTAAGCTCGAGGCCCTAACCCCCCAAGAGGTCAGTGGAGGGGGATAAGGCCAAGCACCTTTCTTTTTTTGTCGAGGCACTGGCATTCTGCTTCACGCCATGGAACCTGCTGGGGCAGAGATGTTCAGTGCCTTGATGTTTGGGGTTTAGGGTTTCAGGGTTCAGGGCTTTGAAGGTTTAAGTCTTCTGGGACTTTTTGGGTAAACCCTAAATGCACTACAAAGCCAACACATGCGACTTGTTACAACCAAAAATTACGTTCCCTGGGGCGCTAGGAAGCTCGTGTTGACAAGGCTCAAAGGGCTTAGGTGATTAGGGTTTAGGGGGTTTACCGGCGGAGATTTCTGGGGGAAACTTTGGGATCTTGAGGGGGCTTTGAATAATTTAGGGTTTAGGGTTTAGGTTTAGGGTTTAGGGTTTAGAGTTTAGGGTTTAGGGTTTGGGGTTTAGGGTTTAGTAGGGTTTAGGGTCTAGGGTTTAGGCCGTTAAAGGGCTCCAGGTTCCCTGCTCAGCACACCTATGTGAGGATGGTTGCGGCCTCACTGTATCTGAGACCCCTTCAACCCTGGCTCCATAAGCCCGGAAATTCTCAAACCCTAATTAAACCCTAAAACCCTAAACCCAAAACCTAGCCCACCCGACCACCTCAAACCCTAAACCCTAAACCCTAAACCCTAAACCCTAAACCCTAAACCCTATAAACCTATAAACCTATAAACCTATAAACCTATAAACCCTAAACCCTAAACCCTAAACCCTAAACCCCTAAACCCCTAAACCCTGAACCCTAAAAACCCTAAAAACCCTAAACCCTATAAACCCTATAAACCCTATAAACCCTATAAACCCTATAAACCCTATAAACCCTATAAACCTATAAACCTATAAACCTATAAACCCTAAACCCCTAAACCCTAAACCCCTAAACCCTAAACCCTAAACCCTAAACCCTAAATCCTAAACCCTAAACCCTAAACCCTAAACCCTAAACCCTAAACCCTAAACCCTAAACCAAAGGAGGCCGCGCGGCAGCGCGGCGGCGCCGTGCCCGCAGAGCGCGTTGCCGTGCAGGGACAGCCGGGCCAGGCGCGGGTGCCCCGAGAGGAGCCGGCCCAAGGCCTGGCCTTCGGTTGGGGAGAAGGGGGTTTAGGGTTTAGGGTTTGGGGTTTAGGGTTTGGGGTTTAGGGTTTGGGGCTTAGGGTTTAGGGTTTATGGTTTGGGGTTTAGGGTTTACGGTTTATAGGGTTTAGGCATGGTTTCTGGCAGGAGTGCGTGTTTTTTAGTTTTTTTTGGGCTTTTCAGGGTTTTACGGAAATACGGTTTTTCGGGTTATCAGGGTTTAGGGGGCTGTCTGGATTTTGAGGTTTTGGAGGGTTTAGATGGTTTTCTCCAGGTTCATAGGGTCTTGGTTTTAGGGTTTTTCGGGGTTTAGAGGGTTTTAGGGTTTAGGGTTTAGGGTTTTTTAGAGGGTTTTAGGGTGCATAAGGTCATAGGGCTTCCTGGGCTGAGTGTGGTCAGTGCACTCAACCAGCAGCAGAAGTACATCCCGTGCCATCCCAAGGCTTATCTGTGCTCCCCTAGTACCCCTCATCCAAACCCAAAACACTCTACCCTAAACCCTAAACCCTAAACCTTAAACCCTAAACCCTACACCTGCCGCCCCCTCCGCCCCCTTTCCCGCCCCCCCAAAAAAAACGAATCCGCGGTACCCCGTGTGAACCCCTCACCCATCCCAAAGCCATCGGCACCTTCGGCGATCTGGTTGTGATTCAGCTCCTCGGCTCGGTCTTCTTACCAGCTCTTCATGGGGAATGCGGGAATCAGGTGCCTCACATTCCCTATGTTATACCCTTACTCAATTCCCCCCTCATCTTCCCTACTAAGAACGAGTATGGCTTGGGCCCTTAACCCGGCCCTTAACCCGTGACGGCTGAGGCTTGAGGGTTTGGGGTTTAGGGTGGGTTACCCATCTCAAAGCAAAGCTGTTGCTGATGGCTTTGCTTCGGCGTACTTGCAGGAGCGAAGTTGCGGGTTGAGGATTGAGGGATTTAGGGTTTGAGTACCCTAGACCTATGTGGTAACCTTAACACCCACTCAACGGAGGGCTTAGATCAATCAGAACCCTAAGCCCTCAACCCTAACCCCTAGTGTTTCCAGAAAACTCCAAAAACCTCTGCGTCTTATTCTCAGGCTCCAGTCGGACCAGCAAGGGGCAACTCAGTAAGCTGGTGGCCAGACCTCAGATAATTAGGGCGCATTTATGGTTTTGGGTTTGGGGCTTGGGGTTTGGGGTTTAGGGTTTTAGGGTCTCTGACGGTTGAGGGACTTCCTCCACAATTGAAGAAGCAGTGGAACTGGGATTGTTAAGGGTCTCTGTGGCGACGGCAACAAAAGGTTCTTGTCCAAGTCGTTGTTGCCTTCGAAACACCCCCGACCTTTAAGGAGCATACTATAACGCACAGCCCCTTACAACCCCCGAAACCGAAAACCCTAAACCCCTAAGCCCTGCCCAAGTACCTGCCACCGCGGCGTCCTTCAGGCCATTTGCAGACAGGTCCAGCCAACGCAGTTCCAGCAACCTCGGTGCAAGGTTGATCGAAATCGTGAGCCACTTGGGATACCTTAATGACATGACTTAGGGACCCCACAAACCCCCCAAACAACATCCTAAACCACAAGCCTACATCTTAAACCCCATACATCCTTGAACCGCATACATCCTTGAACCCTTAAACCCTTAAACCCTTTTCCCCCCCACCTCCCCCCAAACCCCAAACCCTAAAACCCTACTGTAAATCCCGGCTCAGCCAAGCGGCCCGCTCTGCAGCTTTGCGGCCACGGCCGTGGCGCCCCGCAGTCCCCCGTCGTTGCGCGAGAGGTCCAGCATCCTTGGGGTTGGGGGAGAGGGTTTGGGGTTTGGGTTTTGGGCTTTGGGTTTAGGGTTTAGGGTTTAGCTGAGCTTGGGTTGAAGAAGTGTTGTTAAACGAGTAGGGAATTGTCGGGATCCTGCAGTATCCCTGGACATCACCACAGCTCCTGGCCCACTGTCGGAAATCTCAAGCCCTGCGAGGATAAGCCCTACTGGCGAAACTACAACAGGCCCCGAAAGGGACGCGCTTAAGGAGCGGTGTTGTTGTTCCGGCTCAACCGCCATGCAGCCTTCTTGCTACAGGGACCTGAATTCAAACACCCTCCTTTAAACCGCAATCCTTAAGCCCTGCAGGCGCTCAGCACGAAAAACTGTGTCTGCCACGTGACTGCGTGTGGTCTGGTAGCTTCGACATGAGGGCCTCAGACCAGGATTCAGGGTTTAGGGCTAGGGGGTTTAGGGTGGAGGGGTTGAGGGGTTTAGGGTTGAG